GTTAATCGTTGCCCCATTGAGACACGGGAGCCAAATTGTTCTACTGCTTGATGGCATTAATACCATCAATGTAATATTTGAACTGGAGCCCTGGGTTCAAGATGTAAAGTATGCCCTATCTTTATCCAATCCTGTAACCTGAGCGTCCCACGCTCAGGGTACTAGGGACAAAGCTTTCCTATCTCCTCAATCAGCTTTTTTATGTCAGCCTCAGGTACTTTTGCATCAGATTTATGTAACAGGAATTTAAGTTCCTGAACATGTTTCTGCTGGTGATGAGATAGATTTCAGCCCATACTTACCTCTGATTGGTCCCGTAGGATGTCATGCGCACCTTAGGGGTCTGTTCCAGATGAAGGCAAGTATGTTGGTAGCTGTGTCCCCATAGGGTAATGTCCCTGGTCGGGCACCACTTGTGGGAGTTCAATAATCAGTCATTTCAGTGTACAAAGATGTCTGACCACATATGTGGCGCTTATTATTTTTATATTATTTTTATAAGCAAAGAAGAGTAACATAGATACAGTATTTGGATTGGAGAATAGAAACCACATGGGTGAAACCTTCCAACTAATCCTTAAGACTAGTGGTGATGTTAGTAAATGAGATCTTCCATAAGTCTGGGACTTTTCACCTTCACCAAGATACACCTTCACCAAGATAAGTAATGAGATCATGCAAATAGCAAAAAAAGGCCCATATAGGCATCAGACACTGCAGTTTGCTGCTAGCATCCAGCGCCATCTATAGGATCTCAGTAGCTACTACAAAAGAGCTTGACCCCTTCCTCTCTGTGGCTCAAATATCGGAATACTGCTATTATGTCTTCTCTGGTCCTTCTCTTCATTTGATTCGCCATCCCCAGTTTCTGTAACAATTCTTCATATATTTTATAAAAGGTTGGGGACAGGAGGTCTACAAAGAATAGCTTGATGTCATGACAGTAGGAGTAGAGCATGGCTCCATGCGCATTCATTCCAGAGACATCCAGTTGGGAGAGAAAAAGTGTGGGGCTAAGAAACATGTTGGACTGATCCAGAAGGAGATACTCTTTTAGTTGCCTGAGGTTGGTCAACAGTTGTAGAGAAGACCTCTTGACTTCCAGGAAGTTCTGAAATCCAGCATTTCTTAGTTTGGGTTCCCCACCCAGGGGAAGACTGTCCCTCCTACTTAACACTTAGAAATAAGATCCTTCAGGATGTCTTGCCTCCACACTGACTCTATACCGTCCCCTTCCCTGTAGCGAGCCTCCCCTCGCCCATGACGCTACAACAACTTGAAGTGCCCATCATTGGTCTGGACACCTGCAGGTGCTTGTACAGAAGGAACCCAGATCCTGAGGATTCCCACACACTCCACCGTGACATGATCTGTGCCGGTTTTGTAGAAGGCAAGAAGGATGCCTGTCAGGTGAGGCCACTGTGAGGAGGTTAGGGGTGCCGTTAGTTGGCCAAGTGAGGTGGTAGTGATGGCGGTAGGATGCCAGGCCCTGAAAGCCATCCTCTGCACGAGTTCTCGGGCATTTTATGAGGATTGCGCAAGAAAGCATTCCTTTATTAGAGGAGGCTAATAAAAACAGTTGGGTTTTCCAGTGCTTTAGGCTAGACCAGCATTTCTCAACCTTAGCAGCTTTAAGATGGGTGGACTTCAACTCCCAGAATTCCTGGGAGGCTGAGGAATTCTAGGAGTTGAAGTCCACTCATCTTAAAGTTACCAGGTTTGAAAATCACTGCTATAACCTCTCTCTGTTTCTGACTCCTGTTCATATTATCAGACAGTATGCTTATTGTATTTTCTACTACTTTTCCCTTTGCAAACTCTACCACCCCTCAAAAAAACCCAACCATTACATGTCTTTAATTCCTTTCGTTTTTTATTTTTAGGGTGATTCCGGAGGCCCCCTATCCTGTCTCGTGGACAATGCCTGGTTCCTGGCTGGCGTTGTGAGCTGGGGATACAGCTGTGGGGCTGCCAACAGACCTGGTGTTTACATCCGACTTCCTTTCTATGCTGACTGGATTAAGGAAAACGTTCCAGAAGTGCAGCTTCAGCAAGTGACAGTCCCTACAAAGGCCACCCCAGGAGAGGCCTTGTGCTCCAATTCTACAAGAGAAGGAGGAGGCACCTATGATGACATCCAGCCCTTACCAGGCTGGAACCGGCCCCTTGACCCAAACAATAGCCCTCCCAACTCTTCTGTTTCCCTAGCCTACAGGGTTGGCCTACCACTTCTCCTCCTCCTCCTCCAGGCCTGCCTGTGGTAACTTTCCACTCCCACCCTAAGTTGTGCGGGGAAAGTGGTTGTCTTCCTGTTTTATCCTCCTGGTGATGGTCTCCCTATTTCATAAGTCTGCTGTGCTTCAAGCTTTCTCTTTCCACACTGGGTGCAGAGAAGACAACGTGATTCGATTAGGACGTGGTACTGTTCTGCCGAAGCCCGAACTGCCTCACAGGTGGTCATCGAGTGTGTATTTTGTAAATCTACCTGTGGTCTTGGTCTAGCGTATGGCTTTTGAAAAACTTCACTGCTTCACTCCTATTCCTGACTTTTACTCCGAGGATCTAATTCATAATTATCTGGGAGTGTCTCTTTTTTTACCTCTTTCCCTGCGACTTGCTTGGCCTTTTTTTTAAAAAAAAAAATCATAGTTGGGATACAAATCTGTAATAAACCTGCTTTGTTACTGTGGACATAATTTCATAAGTCAGAGGGAGTCTAGTCTCCTTTTTAGGCAAATTCCTGAACTGCATTTGGATATGACTAATCTCTCTGTTGAGTAGTTGGCATCCTTCTCCGATTGCATTCCTCACACGTTTTGAAACGTGATCGGTTTCAAGGCAGGTTCCTCTCTGTCCAGTTCCTCCTTTCCTGCTCATAATGTGAAATTCTCTTGTAGCCTTCCTAACAGTTGTTGTGAAGACAAGGTCCTCCACAATAGTTGGGACGTTATTCAAGGACCAAAGTTGAGCCCTTTGAAGAGTCAGTCAGCTGAATCCTTTCTTCCTTATGGATCGAATTGAGATCACCATCTGATGTCTTGCCCAACAGGACAATTCAGAGCAGCATAATGTGTCCTAACCTAATTTCTCTCTCTTAAAGATCAGTACCTTGCCAAGTATAGATAATGCCATTAGTTAACTTGGATTGATGGGAGGATTTTTACAGGGTTGGTAGTTCTACTGTCTTAGATTGTCATGGTCTCAGCTTATGTGAAACAGGTCAAGGTAAGTACAATGCAACCACCGAGTTGTGGAAAAGGGATTTATATTCTATAGGATCCCTTCCACCCATGTTTGGTTTACTTGACCCTCATTTCTCCCTCTTCTGGGCTCCCTGTCACTTAGTATTTACCCACCCCTCCTTCTGGCTCACAGGCTGAATAAAAGGAAACTCGGCAGAGGTGCTGAGATTTTGAAACCAACCTGTTGTCTTTTGAGCTTTGGCTGGGTGATCAGGCCCCTTCTGTGTGCTGCTAGCCTTGCAATGTTGCCTGATTTAAGTTGAAATTGTATAGGGGTGGAAATGTAACCTCTGGATGTTTCCGTTGCATAATTTATGAATCCTTCCAAGGTGGGATGAGGGCAGAGTTTCTGGGCTGTGTGTACACCTCAGTTTGGAGATACCATCAAGTTTTCATTTTGTGACACCAACTGTCAGCCTGACAGATTTATGGAGCAGCACGGAATCCAATGAAGGAGATGAAGGGAACCGCTTGTTTCCAAGTATGTTTGGACAGAAATAACTCCTAGCAGGGATGCAGAATTAAAAGGAGTGGGACTTGATCGAAATTCAATGAGGATCGAAACTGCCGCCTTTGTGGGAAAGAGGATTGCGACTGTATTTAGATAATTTTATGTTTGCACACACTTTTTTTTTAAAGTAATGTATGCATCATCTTTCAAGGAAAGATTAAAATCAGTTGCTGCTTTTGAAATGAAGGGTTTTAATAAACAGTAATTCTACACTAATACGGCTTTTATTTATTACCAAAGGGAAGCTTTGTGGACTTATAATTTCCCAAGAAATGTCAAGGTGGAACTAGGGAAAATTTAACAGATCGTGAAGCATTTGCTTATGAGCATTAAGATCTACAGGTAGAATTCTCCAGAAGACATGCAGGAAGTAGATGCCAACTACCAGGATCTGCATTGCCTACAGCTGAGCATACTGACTCATGCGATTGATCTTGTCACATGAGCTGTGCAATGAATACGTGGCATGAATTGGTCAACAGTCTGGGATTATGATAGGCGTGCAATTCTTATACAAAACTCTCACCGGACCCAAGCCGATCAAGAAAAACAACCCAGTCATATTTGGCAAGTGAGGTTCACTGAGGTTGAGTGTTAACACAATTAACATCTTGGTGTGCTGCTGTTAGTCAAACCTTGTGAAAATGAGGAAGAGATGCATTCGTAAACCCCTTCACAACAAGGGTAAGAAGTGTGAACTACCTGTTATGAAAAGGACAGTTTCTGTGACCTAAGCATACTGATACAAATCGGTCTTCATGTCCTGCTATCAGTTTTTCCTCCTTAGAAGGATCTTTTCTCTAGTTTCCTTGTTGCTGGCAGTTTTTTCATTGTGCCACCATTAAGGATCAGCTGTAGTTCTTGTAAATGAGTCATAAAAATGGCACAGCACATGGGTTATGTTTTTTTTTATTAAAATATTTTTTAAGCAGAACACACTATATATATATGGTATACACAATAGAAACTACAGCAACTATGTGACTAGATGTTTCTACCCAAGACATCCACAAGCTTCAGCCTCCCTCCCAAAATCACGGTCCTCAGGACTGAAAGTATGCGAGGACCTCAGCGGAAACGGGTGGTATAGAGACCGGCAAGTTTTTCCCCTTCGGTCCACTTGATCGCTTCAAGAGACTTTTGATCTTTTGGAAAAGTCCCTTCTCATTTGATCACCATCAAATGCGGTTCATACGATAGAAGGAGAAATGTTGAGTAATATCCTACAATATCCTTCTAGACAACTCCCAATCCGGAGTTTGTCTGTTCATCTGGGTAGCCATTTAGAAGGGCACCTAAGTTAAAAGCATGTTTTTTCCTGCCCTAGTTCAGCATTTTGTTCCCAGAGAGAACCATTTCTTTTGAAGCTCTGTAAAAGGAATTAAGTTAATTCCTTTTAGTAACATCATAGAAGCAACACTGCACTATGGAATAGCCTTTTTATTAGGTGCCTATTTCCACTTTTTCCTGAGTCTTAACACCCAAATCCTGACTCTCATGCTACTGGCTACTCAGCTTTCAACTCTAAGAAAGCTTATTTTGGGGGCAGCATTGACCTTAAAAATTGACTCTGGAGCCAGTGATACTACTTCAAAACTCTCTCTCTCTCTTTTCCCACATTGGTAATAGCTATGTGACAGTGGAAGGATTCAAGCTGCTTATCTAGTATACCTAAAAACATGCTTTGATAGAATGTCCAAAGTACTTGCCTCTTTTTGAAGATACGGAGAGTGACAACAGATTTACCAAGAGACTTAAGAGAATTTACAGAAGACCCATTTTTCCCCAAAATTTTGAACCAGGATGATTGTTCAATGTTTCAATGTTGGAGATCTCCAGCATCTCTTTTGGAGAAGTCAATCCTCCTTCCTAGCTTAGTCAATAATCTAGTTTTCAGTATTACTGATAGTAAATGGTGCCTCCGACTTGTGTCGACCATTTGCTGCTCAAATATCCAATCCCTGTGTTTATTTACTGCTCAGATCTTGTTCTACCATAATTCTGCCATATTTAATCACCTGTTAGAACTGTCAATAAGAAATAATAGAATGATTTATCTGCTCCTTTTGTGATAAGAATGAAGGTACCACTTCTACTTTAGAGAAGACACCAGGTTTGGCAAGAAAGAAAAAAACAGTTCTATATCCAGCAACAGAAGAAAACAAAAGGGGGGGGATAAATAAGTAGTTCTTCATTCAAATGAACCCACCTAGGCAGAATTGCTGCAAACTCAAAAAACACCTGTTTTCAGGTGTTTCTCATAACCCCAAACTACCTGTTTCATATATGTTCTTTCAGTACAAGACTGACAGCAATGCTAAATTACTGAACATATTCTAAAATAAAAAAAAGCAGATGTGGAGCCAAAACCTTTCAGTTTTTCAAGTCAGTTTTTCCTTCACTTCTTGGAAATCTTGGCTTGCTTGTGTTTAGGAGGTGCCCATCTCAGGCAGAGAGAATCCACTGGAGAAAAGAGGGAGGAAAAAGGAAATAAGAAAACTCGGTAGGGTAAGGGGGAAAAGAGCAGAGCAGTCAAAGTCCATCACTATCTCGAATGGGCATGGATGTCCCCGCCTCAGCTGAGAATGCTGAAGAAATTTAACAGGTTAACCAAAGTGAGTACTAGAGAAAGCACAACAGATACCACCCTGAATAAAATTATGCCTTGGGTTGGTAACATCAAAAACAAATGCAGGCTTGACTTACAACCATTGAGTGACTGAAGTTACAGCAGCATTAAAAAAAAAAAAAGACCTATGACCATTTTTCACACTTACGATGGTTTCAGCATTCCCACAATCATCTGAACAAAATCTGGATGCTTGGCAGCTGGCTCATATTTATGACGGTTGCAGTGTCCCGAGGTCATGTGATCCCCTTTTGCAACTTTCTGACAAGCAGAGTCAACGGGGAAGACAGATTCACTTAACAACTGCAGTGATTCATTTAACAACTGTGTCAAGAAAATCTGTAAAATGAAGCCAAACTCACTTAACTGTCTTGCTTAGCAACATAAATTTTGGGATCAACTGTGGTCCTAAGTTGAGGACTACCTGTAAGTGCCATATCAGATTCATTTTAGATTTAATAGATCCTTGCTGGCCATTCAGGCCGTCGTGCAAGAGTTTATGCCTTGTTTGTACCAGCTTCACATCTCTTCAGCTCTGCCCAACAGGCAGTTCCTGACCCAGCCCCCTTCTGAAAAGGAAAGAGATTTGTCCAAATAATCTCCCTGAAGCTCCTGTTATATAAATGACATATTTAGGTAACAGGAGCGATGTCATCAGCTCCCTGGGGGAAAAATAATACTGTCTCTTTCAGAAAAAATTGGCAACATCTAATTTGTTCTAAGATGACTCTTAATAGACACTGGGCATGGTTGCCAATAAACCGAAAGCAAGTTATGTAGCATTTAAATGTTTGCACTCATAATATACAAATATTTGAGTTTCTTTGCGTTTTATGTATATTGGCAAGGGAGGACTGACCACGCTTTCTGCCTAAAACAACCTTGTTCTATGAATGTCTATCACTTGAAACATGCTTCAAATGAAAGGCTAGCCATTTCTCAGCGTCTCTTCTGCATTCCAATATGGGAACATGAATAAATAATCCTGCCCGGCTATCTTATGGGAGTTAAATATTAACTGCCTAGGCTGGTGCAAGGGAAATGAAATCAGTTGCTTAGCAGACTTAACAGTTTGAAGTCCATTCCTTGGAAGGAATCCAAGTACATCAGTTTAGTTGGGATTAAAGGGCACGGCAAAGACTGGACAGCTGTTCTATGAGTCAGGAAAACTAAAAGGACAAGTTTAGGAGCAAGCAGCCCTCAGCACTCCATAAACATGTAGGTGAAAAATAGAAGACGGAATAGAAGGAGTTGGAAGGCACCTTGAAGATCTTCTAGTCCAACCCTCGGCTCAAGCAGGAGACCCTATACCATTCTCAGACAAGGGGCTGTCCAATCTCTTTGACACTCTTCTTAAAAGCTTCCAGTGATGGAGGACCCACAGTTTTTTAAGGCAAGCCGTAACACTAGTTAATTGTTCTCACTGACAGGAAAGTTTTCCTTATTTCTAGGTTGGTTCTTTCCTTGGTTAGTTTCTTTTCCTGCCTTCAGGACCTTTGGAAAATAGGAGTCCCCCCCCCCCCTTTGTGGCAGCCCCTCCAATACTGGAACATTGCCATTATATCACCCCTGGTTCTTCTTTTTACTAGACTAGATATACCCAATTCCTGCAAATATTCTTCATATGTTGCTTAAGAATGCTACTTAAGGAAAAACTGGGAAACTGAAGTCACCACAGGAAGTCCTCAACTTACAACCACAACTGGCACAAAAACTACTATTGCTAAGCAATGGAGTCATTGTAAATTGTGTTCACTTTTATGGCCTTTCTACCATAGTCATTAAGTAAATCACATGGACTTTAGCAGATGTAGCTTCCTCCATTGACTTAGCTTTTGGAAAAGCTAAGGAAAGGGAAAGTCACAAATGGCAATCATACAACCCTCGGACATTGCAACTCTCCTGAAAATATACTGGTAGCCAAATGCCCAAATTTTGATCAGAGGGACCACTGCAATGGTCACATGTGCGAGGACTGATCATGAGTCACTTTTTTCAGCACAGTGGTAACACTGAATGTTCATTAAATGAATGATTGTTAGGGCTTAAAAGATCGATCTCAAGAACTTTAGAGCACTGAAGATCAGGAAAAACTACAGATAGTCTTTGACTTACAACCTCAATTGAGCCCAAAATTTCTGTTGTTCAGTGAGACTTTTGTTAAGTGAGTTTTGCTCCATTTTACAACCTTTCTTGAAACGGTTAAGTGAATCACTGCAGTTGATAAGTTAGTAACTCAGTGATTAAATTAAGCAAAGCCCCACTGGGGTTTACTTGTTGGGAGGTCATAAAAAGGGGATCAGGACACAGCAACGGTCATAAGTATAAACCAGTCTCCAAGCATCTGAATGTTGATCACGTGACCGGGGTGGGGTGGGGTGCTAGAAAGGTTGTAACTGTGAAAAACAGTCATAATTCACATTTTTCAGTGCTGTTGTGATTTTGAACAGTCACTAAGCGAATGGTTGTAAGTTGAGGACTACCTGTATATGTTTTAGAGAGAAAGAAAAACAGACATCTCTACACCCACGCAAGAAAGTTAAAAGACAGGAAGCAACATGCATGAAGACGGTTAAAACTGGGAATTTAAAGAAGTGACAGGTGGCATTAAAAAAGGAAGTAAGATCGAGACAATGCAATTGTAAGACCACTTGGAAGCCGCTTCTGGACTTTGTTCTTGAGGTGGAAAAAAAATGAAACGGTGATTTTGGGTTTTACCGATTAGATAGATTTGCTGTTACAGAAATGGCTAGATTATGCTACTATGTAAAAGTATAAGTTGAGGTTTGATGTTACTGCCTTATCCTACTGCATCAAAGGGAGTTGGAAGAAAAAGGCCTTCCCCCCTTTGCTTTGCCCCACTCTTCTCTTCCCTTTTCCCTTCCCTAATATCCCCACTTACTTTTGCATTTTCTTTGTGTGCTGTATTAAAAACTAATATTGTTTAAACCAGAACTGCATAGGCAAAAAAGGTTGCGGGTGGGGGGGGGGGCGGGGGGAGCGCTGCAAGCCAAAAAGCTAAATCTAGCAAATTTAAGAAGCAGGCCGGAGATGATTTCAATTCTGCTATCACTGCAGATCTGGAAATGGTACGCAGGCAGAGAGAGAAAAAGAAAGAGAAAAGGGAAGGAGCGCCATGTTGAATATCCCATACGGATCTCAAGACTTTGAGCCGAAAGCGGGATGAACTGCTACCGCATCCTCCCCCCCCCCCCCCATTTTCCCATTTGCCGGTACCTGTGATTGGCGGCTTCTTATACTGTGCACTTTTGAGATGCTCCTCCACCAACTTGGGAGTGACGCAAATGACGTGCTGCCCCTTCCAATACTTGACCATGTTCAGGGACTGCAAGGTGCTGATGATGTCATTCTGGGTGATGCTCGTCATCTGGCTGTGCCGAGGGAAACAACACGGTGCGCGTCAGCCAAACAAGGACCAGATAAGGGGCCCTGTTAAATAGGCCTCATGATGTTCAGTGAAGGCTGCTCCATGGTCAAATGCTACAGAAGGGCTCACGGTCTCAAGGCCTCAACACCCACACCCCTTGCTATAGGCCGTCCTCAGCTTACAGCCAGAATTTCCATTGTAAGTAAGGCAGTGGTTAAGCGAGTCCTGCCCAATTTTGTGACTTTTACTATGGTTAACTGAATTGCTGCGGTTGTTAAGCGAATCATACAGTCGTAAGCAAATCTGACTCCCCCCCAACCCCGACTTTGTTGGAAGTTGACAAATGTTGGCTCCCAATTAATTATGGATCACACGACTGCAGGACTCTGCAGCCGTCATAAATACACGGCAGTTGTCAAGCCCCTGGATTTTGACCATGTGACTGTGGGGAGGCTGTGACGGTCGTAAGTGTAAGGACCCGCTGCAAATCAATTTTTCAGTGCCGTTGTAACATCAAATGGTCACTAAACAAATATCAATTTAAGACTTATATTCCGCTTCACAGCCCTCTCTAAACAGTCTGCCCCCAAGATATACTCCTCATTTTACTGACCTTGGAAGGATGGAAGGCCGAGTCAACCTGGAGCCCCTTCAGAATCGAACTCCAGGCTGAAGGCAGAGTTAGCCTGCAATACTTACAACAGCTCATTTAGTGGCACTGAAAAAAGTGACCTATGAACATTTTTCACACGACTATTGAAGCATCCTCGTGGTCATGTGATTTATATTCGGATATTGACAACTGACTCATATTTATGATGGTTGCAGAGTTCAGGGGTCATGTGATCCCTTTTTGCAACAAGCAGAGTCAATGGGGAGGCCAGATTCATTTAACAACCGTGCGACTAATTTAAGAATTGTACTAAGTGAGAAAAGTTGTAAAATGGAGCAAACTCACCTAACACATTTCTCACTTAACAACATACATTTTGGGCTCAATGGTGGTCATAAGTTGAGGACTACCTGTACTGCATTCTAACCACTGGGGCACCAGGGCTCTTTTTTACATTTTACTGCCTGTATGACTAGTAGCCCAATCTCAACTCACCTGAGATCCTTGATGGAAAGGGTGCCTCGGAAGTCCCGAAGAATCTCGAGTAATACCCAGGACCAATAGCTACGGTAGCTCAGCTTGCCAAGGTCCGAAAGGGGCTTTTCGGGGGATCCTACTGTGCTTTCCAGTTTGGAGAGCTCATAGCCTGGGGAGGAAGAGATCAGAAGTCAAGGCCTCAAAGCACCTCAGTTCAGGATCCAGGCATTTCAAGGGCAAGGAAAATCTCAGACCAGATCAAAACTCACACGTTTTAACCAAGTGACTTCGAAATGTTACGGCTAAATATTCAGAATCGTGATTAAGATTAGGTAGCCCTTAAGTGATCAGGATACCAGGGGTGGTAGAAGTTGTCATCAAGGGGACAATGGGTCTATCTATAAATCCAATATCAAGAAGCAATGAAGAGACTGATAATCAACTCTGAAGTTTATAAATTCATGGCTAAGAAAACAAGCTTACTGAATGCAATGAGGAATTTCCCATAACCCCGTCTCTGGTAAGGGGGCAAGGTTAGGATACAAGCCACATTATTTCCATCTGGAGATTCCTTCTCCTAGAGGGGAAAAGAAATCGCAGGAGTCAAATAAATGACGCTGTGGAATCTAACATTAAGCAGAGAAATCAAGATCCAGAAACATGTGTTTTTTTTTTTTTTAAAGTTACCAATTGCATCCGTTATATCTGGCAAATCTAAAACGCTTGCTCTGCTGTCATGGATGAAATCCCTGCTTCCTGTCCTGCTGCAAACTTTCTGCTAAACTGATTTTGGTATTGATTTATTTACCATTGTCTTTCCTTCCTTATGTATTTTTAAATTACCTATAACATTTGTACCCCATCAATCATCCAAAAGCTCAAGGTAGCCTGCATACCATGTTCTTTTCCAATTTAATTCTAAGAGCAACCTAAGTACAATTTCTTCTCTCCCTTTCTGTCAGATGTCAAATAACAACAATTGAACAAATACTGACATGTTTCTGAAACTGGATTTTCTACTTTTGAGCTTTTCTTACCACACACTAATTTTAAACACACGGAAATAAGATTCTAAGTGCTCACTTGGGAATGCACATAAAAGAAAAAAGCAACAGCACTCTTAGTTTAGAAAATTTGCTGAATTATTTGGATCAGCCATGGTTTGGTAGAACTGAAACCCACAATGCTTGGATGGCTGTGTGCAAAATAAGACAGAGGTGGAGTGAATGGGTCCAGTACAAATGGCCTCTCTTGTAAAAAAAAATTCTGATTTTCATTCAGCCCTAATTTTCCAGAGCTTTTCCTCCTTTCCCTCTCCACAACCATTCTTGATATCATCCTTGCCCCTCCCAATCTTCTTAGGACCATCACTTTTCCCGACTTTTTCCCTGTTCACACGAGGACCCAGATTGTTGGGAGCGATGTGCTGACTATGTAAACCACTTAGAGAGGGCTGTAAAAGCCCGGTAAAGTGATATATAAGTCTAAGTGCTACTGCTATCTATCCCAAAGCCCTTGTACCTAGAACAACTGTTTTAGTCCCTGGGACACCACTAGTGCACAGAATATTTTGCACATCCCTAGGGTTTGTCCAACCCTTAAGATCAGAGTTAGTTACAATTCACTCTCCACCCTGTGAACACCTGCAGCCAGTACCTTGGAAAAGTAGCCAACGATATGGGCTCCTTGCCTGTCCACCTCAGTAAGGATGTAGAAGACAAAGGGCTCCACGTCAAAGTAGAGGGTCTTATGATCCAGGAACAGTTTGGCCAAAAGACACAAATTCTGGCAATAAATCTGGGGGGAGCAGGGGGGCGGGGAAGAGAAATCAAGAGGCAGTAAGGACACAAGCAAAAAGAATGGAATCCAGGATCAAAGAGAAGGAACACTGGCTTACCTGAATGTTCGTTTTCTATCTATGTGGAGTGAGTCCAGATAGGATGGGTTATCTCAGCTTAAATCAATAGGACTGAGTCTGCCCAAATTCGAGCTCCGCCCCTTTGCTGTGGCCACCCCCCAGCTTTCGACGAAGCATCAAGGCAGACAAGAAGTGATTCAACTACAGCAAATAAGCAGACACACATTAATGCACCCCCCTAGCCCACCCCTGACCAGACCAATCAGGGTGGGGCTGGACTCACTCCACAAAGACAGAAAATGAACATTCAGGTAAGCCAATGTTCCTTTTCCTGTCTATGGTTACTTGAGTCCAGATAGGATGGGACAAAGCCTCCTAATTCCAGGGAGGGCAAAAGTCTGGTCCTACTTACACCAATGTTCATGTACACTTTGCAGGACTCTTCTGCCGAAAACGGCATCTGCCGCAGCAAAAGTATCAATGCGATAATGGCGGATAAAAGGAGACAGAGAAGACCAAGTGGCCGCTCTGCAAATCTCCTCAATGGGGGCTTGAGTAGCCCAGGCCGCCGTTGTTGCTGCACTCCTGGTGGAATGTGCTCTCAACCCTCTCAGAATCGGAAGAGCCATCGTGTAGTAAGCCTTAGTGATGCAGGTCCTAATCCACCTGCCCACCGTCATAGTCGACACCTTCAACCCCAAGGAATTGGATTGAAATGAGGCAAACAGGGCCTCCATCCTTCGGAACAGAAGGGTCCTCCTGATATAAGTCTTCAAAGCCCTCCACACATCCAGAGTGTGCCAAGATCGCTCGAGAGAGTGGGAAGGATACAGGGCAAAAATTGGGAAGGACAAGTTCCTGTGCTCTATGAAATCTGGAATTGATTTTAGAAATAAAGGAGGGATCTAAGTGCAGCACCAGTCTGTCTGCGTGGAAGACACACAAGTCCTCCTTGACAGAAAGAGCGGCTAACTCCGAAATCCTCCTAGCCGAAGGGATGGCTATGAGGAATGCCACCTTGAGAGGAATTACAAGGTTATGGATTTAAGGGGTTCAAAGGGTGGGGACATTAAAGCTTTTAGAACTTCGAGAAGGTCCCAAGTGGGAAATCTGTGAACCACTGGTGGTCTTATGTTGGAAGCCCCTTTTAAAAAATTACGAATAGTCTGATTGAGACAGGGAACCTTTACGATGCAAAAACACTTCCACTTGCGCCGACCATCTGCCTGCCAACTCTTCAGCCAAAACATTCTACGGGCAGCGATGGATGTAGTGATGGCCTTGGAGGCAAACCTGGCGGTATTTAAAGTAGCGTCTGCAGTGAATTCTGTGGCTGCGGCCAATTTATGAATATCCTGATGAATGCGCATGTCAGATGCAGGGACATGGTCCTGCAATTGGCAAAGCCATCATAGAGAGGATCTTGTGAAAAAGGAGGCGGCCGAAGCCTCCTTAACTGCCCAAGCAGCTGTCAGGTGAGTGCATGCATTGGAGGGATTGCTTGATCCTCTCATCTTCAGCTTTTAGTGCCTCTTCAGGATCTGCTGGATTGGATGAGGCAGAGATCATAGCTGCGACTGGTGCATCAACTGTAGGCACCTGCAGGGAGCTTGTTAGCTTGGGCCCCATTGTAAAGAACGCCTCTTGTTGGCCAACAGCGATGAGGAAGTATCAGGGGCTTCCATCTGTTTTTGTGTAACACTGAGGAATAATCTAGGGACCGGCACCATTTCTGGTCTTACAGCTGGTTCATCGAAAAGTTGATCAGGTGGCACCTTGCCATCACCCTGTTTCACCAACATCAGCCTTAGGCCACAACTTTGCAGTTTTTTTGGCTTTGAATAATAAAGCCCTAAAATTCTGTGCATCAAAAATGCCAGTAAAGGAAGGTCTCTCCGGGGCCATATCCTCATCCTCTGAGAAATCAGATTCTTTCTTCTCTTCTTCAAGGGCTCTGCCAGCAATGCTGGATAACAAAGGCACTGGTGAACCTCTGTCTCTGAAGGAATAGGTTTCTCTAGCATGAAAAGACCTGTCTGGATCTGATTGACTGAGGCCTCAGAGATATTTCCTTTGGACACTCGAAGAGCCTCTACCACTCCCCTTCTGATAGCCTTAGCAATAATGGCTTCCAAATGGGCTGGAACAGCCTCTTCCTCTGAATTGTAAGGTTCAGCAACAGGTCTGGTCCTTTTAGGGGGAGGAGGAAGCAGCTCTTCCACAATTGAAGGCTCCCTATCATCCCTCTCAAGGTCTCCCAAGGGAGTTGGATTCCCAACTGCAGAAGAATTATCAGGACACCAAATCCCAGGGCGAGGGGGCCCAGTAAAGGCAGAAGGCCCTACTTCCAGTTGTATAACTGGGGGTTGTGCAGACTGATCTAAACCAGCATCAGGAGGAGGAGATCTCCTGCCCTTCCCCCCAGCCACATGGTGGCGTTTTTCAGACCTATTTCCAGAAGCCTTTGTTTCCTTCTGGACTTCTGGTTCAGCTCTGGCTTCAGGAGCCTTCCTCTTCTGGATTTTCCTTTGGAAGTGGAAGGGCTTGGTTCCCTTTCTTGCTCTTTATCAGCCATCTCACCCGGAGAATGAATTAATTCACAAGAAAGAGGCAGGGAAGGGAGGGGACTTGCTGGAAGGAGGAAGAAGAATTAATAAATCCACCACAAGTAATTAATGCAATAAAAAGGCCAGATCTAGAAACAAAATAATCATCTTACCTGGTAAGCCAGCTTAGCAAGCCTGTGAAGGCAACTGCTGGGCTGCAGCACACCCTGCCGGTCACACACCAGGTTTTGGACCTGCAAAGAGGTCAGAATGGCGCCCACGCGATTTCCTCAGTGCGGGAGACTCCCTGACGCTGGTCTGCAACCCAGCACTGGCAACCTGGCTGATAGCGCCCTTCGGCTAGGGGTAATCCCTGCTAGCTGGGATCGGGCCGATGCCCAATTAAGCGGCTACTTTGTTTCCTCCAAACATTCAGCAAAGCTCTCGGTGGCTTCTCCCAGATCTTCAAGCCGCTGCTGTAGGCTGCTGTGCTGAGCGTTTTGCAGTCAAGGCGATCAATACAGCAAGCCAGAAAGTGAAAGAGAAACCGCAAGCAGTTTCTATTGCTGCCGCGCTGCTGCGCCAATCAGCTGGCTGCCCTTATTAGGCTGAGTGCCCAAGAGCCGTCCCACGTGGTCTGGCCTCCCTGCACTGAGTCTGAAGCCCTTTGCGCTGTTTCCCGGTTCTGGGAGCTAAAATTAGCTCACTCACCAGTCTCCATCAGATTCCAAGCCTCAAAGATCTGTTTAAAACTTTTTTCCCCTTTTTATGATCAGGCTCTAATTAGAGCTATATGGGAGCCTTGTAAAACACGTAGAGTCCTGGCTAAGACTGAATTGAAAACTGGGGAGTGGCCACAGCAAAGGGGCGAAGCTTGAATTTGAGCAGATTCAGTCCTATTGGTTTAAGCTGAGATAGCCCATCCTATCTGGACTCACATAACCACAGACAGGAAAACTACCTGTAGTTTGGCTTATTTTAAAAGGGACTTGCAAACGTGGGGAGAAGTAAATTATATAGTAGTTAATGTCTGTTTATGACTGTTGAGAGTGACTGGCTTTGTAGCTGAAGAGCCAGATGTTCCAAACAGCGAAGATGGAAAATGCAGGTTCCCAAAATAGCAAACTAGGCACTTAGGCCACAAAAAATGAGCACAAGGAACAGCCAGAAGAAACCCTGCAGCTGAAGTGAACTCTTACCTTGTGATCTTTCCCATCCACCTCATATACTGAAATGTTGTTTTTGCGATAGATTTCTTTCCCTGGAGGTTGCCGCCACTGACATTGGCCCTGGAACAACAAGACGACAACCTATGAGTACCAAAATTGACGTTGTTTTTTTTCCCCTGAGGAATTCCACCTGATGACTTGTTCAATGCAGCTTCTGAAGCATTTATTTGGCTTTTGACCAGGTTATTATTCTCCGGTTTCATTTTAGCTTTGTTCATTTAGATTTTTCCAGCTGATAGCACTGGAAGTACTGAAACTAAATACAGGTAACCCTTAACTTGCAGAAGTTTGTCTAGTGACCGTTCAAGATCATGACAGCACTGAAAAAAAAATGACTTACAGCCATTTTTCACACTCATGATCACTGCAACACCATGGTCTTGTGATCAAAATTCAGCTTCTTGGCAACTCTTGACCTTGGCCTCTTGACTCGTATTTATGATGGTTGTTGGGTCCTGCCATCATGTGATCGCCGCTTGCAACTTTTTGACAAAGTCAATGGGGAAGCCAGATTCGCTTAACAATTGTGTTATTAACCTAACAACTGCAGCGATTCACTTAACAACTACAGGAAAAAAGGTCGTAAAACAGGGCCAAACTCACTTAACAACTGTCTTCACTTAGCAACAGAAAATTTGGGTTCAACTGCGGTTGTAAGTCGAGGGCTACCTGAACGCCAATTCAAATGTACTGATATTCACAGATCCCTGATATTCAACGCAAACACAGCTTGCTCTGCTTTCTGATACTGTCCCATTCCACTTACAGGCTCTCTGGTGCTCAATTCTCTCCCACCCCAACCTTCCCCAGCCTTAGGCCCCTGGCAACTGTCCTCCCCGTTGCGTACGAGGTGATAGCGGTAAGTCTTCTCAAACTTCATATACTTGAGGCAGTATTCGCAGATCCACAGCTTGGGCTGCTTCCCGTAGTCTTCTGGGAATGGTGAGAAATACCAAGCATCAATCTCATAGTTCCCGATATGGATTTTGTCCACGTATTTCACTTTGGTGATCTGAGAAGAGACAAAAGTAAGTGGTGTTCTACAAGCACAATCGGAGCAATAGCACTTAGACTTATATATCAAACCCCTGGCAGTGGGAAGAGACAGCTATAGCAATGGCACCTAGTCTTATATACTGTTTCCCATGCTTAACAGCCGCTCTCTAAGCGGTTTACAGAGTCAGCCTATTGTCCCCAACGATCCGGCCCCTCATTTTATCAACCTCAGAAGGATGGAAGGCTGAGTCAACCTTGAGCTGCTCAGAATCGAACTGGTCAAGTGAGCAATGTGTTAGCCTGCAAAACGGCATCCTAACCACTGTGCCATCACGGCTTGTAATGCTCCCTTTTCCGAAACTCTTTGGGTTTCAAGCCAGGTACGGATAAACACTCACTGCCTCATGTTCCTTCTCCAAAGCTGCTGTGGTGGGGTCCATCTCAGCATACGTCTGTGGTGGGGGAAAAAACAAACTGAGTACCAACAAGCATTTCCTGGAAAAACCACCTTCTACTGCCACCATAAAGATAGCAATAGCATCAAAAGTACAATTGTGTACAGGTAGTCCCCCACTTACAACAGTTCATTTAATGATCGTTTGAAGTTGCAACAGCACTGAAAAAAGTGATGTATGACCATTTTTCACACTTATGGCCATTCCATGATCACATGTTCAAAATCCAGGAAATTGGCAATTGGCACGTGACGGTTGCAGTGTCCTGGGATCATGTGATCCCCCTTTGCGGCCTTCTGACAAGTATAGCCAATGGGGAAGCCAGGTTCACTTAACAAATGTTCCACCTTCCCTAACTTAAGAACTGCAGTGATTTGCTTAACAACTGTGGCAGGAAAGGACGTAAAATGGAGCAAAACTCACTTAACAATGGTCTCATCTAGCAACAGAAAATCGGGGCTCAACTGTGGTCTTAAGTCGAGAACTGTGTTTTTTTTTTCCACCCCACCTCTGGAATGGACAGAGGCAGTCCTCAATTTACGACCGTTCATTCAGCAACCACAGCCTCTCCACTGCCTGAGGTGCCCCATGCTCCACATGATTACAATGGGGAGGCTCGGGATTCCAAGGGTGCCTTGCTTAATGAGAGCAGCAATGGAGTGATTGTAATAATGGGCACAACTGTGGTTTTGTGAGTTGAGGGCTACCTTCACTGTGTAGCACAGCACAAGTTCCACCTTCCCAGCCATCCCTCCCTTGCACATCACCTTTTGGACATGGTTGATCTCATCATGCTTGCGCTTCTGATTGCGTGTGATCTTGCGCTCGGGCTGCTCAGAAAGCTCATTCATGTATTGATCGGTATTCTTTTGCACAGCATCTTTGACTGTCTTGGTGAGGGCCAGGCGGTTCTTATCCACCCACTCATCCAGACGTCGGTTGACTGTGAGAGACGGAGGAGAGATAGGAGATTGCAAAAATCTCACCATTCCCCCCACTCCCCTTCTAGCCATTCCATACAAAATGTTCTTTAGCTAACAACTGAATTTATGGGAACGAGAAGGTCGATCCACCCTGCCTTCCTCTACTTTGAGGTGAACAGAATCTACTGATGGACCTCTAGATCAGGGGTGTTCCACCTTGGCAACTTTATGACCCGAGGACTACAATGCACAGAACTCTGGCAGTTGAAGTCCATAAGGCCTTGTTGGACATCCCTGATCAAGATGATCAGCAAGGATTTCTGACTGCTAGGGATTTATCAACAACAAACAAAAATCATCACTGGAAACAAAGCTTTGGCTGTTGTCCAAAGTTGTGCACAGCAGCTTCAATTCTGGTATTAGAAAAAATTAAAACCCACAATTGACATTAAGCAGAGTCTTCATCCTAATTTCCATCAATAAATTCTCCTTCAGCTTCTTCCTTGAGTTCATTATTGAACTGAAGGCATACAATTTTTTCTTCTGCTTTTTTCTTTCCTCCTACAAACTGGGATAATTGGCACAACATGAGTTATATCACACTGTGCTAAGGCACACTATGATGGTTCTTTATCTAACAATTTATCATTAGTGTGCAGAAAAAATACAACTTTACTTAGAAAGCTACCTAAAGCTACATCTACACTAAATCTCCCTATGCTCATCTAATCTCAAAGTCAACTTAATTTATGGAACAACGGTTCTTCCAGTGGAGCTTCCATCGAGGAGACCATGATCGTGTGTGGCTTTGATCCGTGCTTACCCTGTTGGAAGGGGTCCCTACAGGACTGGAACCATCAGACCCTCCTCGGAGGGGTGGGGGAAGAGGGGGAGACCGACAGCCGGGTTGAGGGGAGCCGCATCTCCCCTCCCTGGCTTGCTATACTACCCTGGAAGACAGGGAGAAGAGGCAGTTTTAATGGCTGCCCTGAAGACAGGAAGCTATCAGGACTTAAGTGTGTGCTGGAGTGGTGAAGTGGTGAGCGGCGTGTAACCAGATAAGAGAAGCCGAACGTTTTGTTTTAATAACCCTGAAAAGCAGAAAGGATTCCTTGCTTGAGAGTGTAACAGCAGCGAATGGAAAATAGGACAATATAAGGTAAATAAAAACTGAACTATAGAAGAGCTATAATCTTCGGGGGATGGGATTGGGAGACCTTGTGCTGTCTTCGTTCACTTCCTTCCTCTGCGGCCACTCTCAGTCAGTGTTGATAGGAGGGGAGAGATCCAACCCTCGCCCACTGCTTTACGGGGTTCCGCAGGGCTCGGTACTCTCTCCGCTCCGTTCAACATTTATATGAAACCGCTGGGTGAGATCATCCGTCACCATGGACTGAGGTATCACTAATATGCTGATGATACTCAGTTGCATGTCTCAGCCCGTGGTGAGTTAAGTGTTGCTGTGTTCTCCCTCTCACAATGCCTGGAGGCTGTTAGGGGCTGGATGGGGAGCAATGGCTTGAAACTAAACCCTTGCAAGACCGAGTGGCTCTGGGTCTGGGGTTCATTGGTTCAGGGAGAATTGCCACCTTTAGTCTTGGATGGGGTGGAACTACCCTAAACAGACCCTGTGCGTAATCTAGGGGTTTTCCTGGACTCACGATTCCTGTTCAAAGACCAGGTGGCGGTCTTGGCCAGGAGGGCCTTTGTGCAACTGTGGGTTGTGCACCAGTTATGCCCTTTCTTGAACCAACACTCCCTACTCACAGTCACTCATGCCCTGGTCACTTTCTGTCTTGATTATTGCAATGCGCTCTATATGGGGCTCCCCTTGAGGAGCATCTGGAAGCTCCAGTTGGTGCAAAATGCAGTGGTCCGCATGGTTTTATGCAGACCCCAGGGTGCACATGTGTCACCTCTCCTGCAGGAGCTGCGTTGGTTGCTGATTTGCTGCCGGGCGCAATTCAAGGTGCTGGTTTTAAAGCCCTTCATGGCTTGGATCCGGGTTATCTGAGGAAACATCTCTTGCTAGTGACTTCTACCTGACCCATTAGAGGGAGGAGGCAGGGAATGCTGCAGGTCCCACCCCTGAGGGAGATACATTTGGTGGGACCTAGAAGAAGGGCCTTCTCTGTGGTGGTTCTGTCCCTCTGGAACAGAGATTAGAATGCCCCCCTCATGAATACTATTCCGAAAGGAACTGAAGACCTGGTTTTGCCAACGGAACCAGGAGAAGGATGGAACCCATCAAATAGCTAGTGTGATCCGCTTTTGTCAGGGTAGGGGGTGGGAGTTGTTGGTTTTTCCCCCCAAATTTTGTTCTATTGTATTTTACTAATTTATTTGATTCTTTTTGTTAGTTCTTATTGTTTTTATTTTTGTTTTAAATATGACTTTACATTGTGTAAGCCGCCTCAAGTCACCATGGCCGAATAGGCAGCAATATAAATCAAATAAATAGATTAATTAATTAATTAATTAATTATTTTAAAAAAAGAAATTAAAACTTTGAAAAGTGGAAGTGATATAGAGCCCCACCTAATGGTACAAGACATTGTTTTCCTGGTTGACTTTATGGAAAATTACTGGTCTTTTAAATGCGTGAATGAGAAAAGATATGAAATAAAAGACTTTAACAGAACAAGAACCCCGGAAGCTTTAAAGAAAAAAAAAGGGGAGATTGCAGCAAGAGGATAAATGAAGGCAATATCTTGGGACTGTTGAGGGTTGATGTGCAAAGGAAACAGAAAGTCCAATAAGGAAAAGAGAAATAAGTGGAGCCTCTTGGCAAGGATTACAATTAACTTTAATAAAATAAAAAATAACACAATTGATTAAAAAATGGAAGAAGCAAGCAAAGAATTTAAGTCGGAACTGCAATCTGTGAAAGAAATTTATCTAAAGATTAGTTGAATGGATAATAATTTGAGATGATATTAATTAAGAAAGTTGAAAATGTAACTATGACTATGTATAAATACTGTAATCTGGAACCACGTTGCTCACGTGAAGAGATGTGTCAAAAATAAAAATAAAAAACTTTGGGAATAAAAAAAATTATGGAACAACTTAATTTATGGAAGACTGCAGGAAAATAAATAAAAGCACAGTTATATTTAATTAGATTAATTCAGATGGTTAGGAATTCAAGGAATCATCATTCCAGTTTATCTGCAGGGCATGAGATTAGGGAAGACTGAACTAGATCAGGTATTCTAATTTTCTCTTTGTTATTCAGATCAGAATCTTAAAACACCACTTACATCCTACATAGTGAACATAAAATTCCTCTCTGGCTTCTTGTTCGTTGAGCCGAGACTGAATCACCTCTGCAGAATCTGAAGGGGAAGCAACCATAAATCTGGTTAAAGGACATTTCAGTTATGAAAAGTGAGAAATATAAGTCAGTAAAAAGACTACAAAGCACATCTTTTTTTTCAAAAGGCAGCAAGCTAGCAAGGAAAAAGCCTATAAAAATTTACTTCATTCTTACCATTCAAGCTTGAGGCATTGATATGGATCTTGTGTACATGTAGTCCTGGACTCATGACCATTCAAAGTTACAACATCACTTGAAAAAAGTAATTTTTTATAGTTCTTCTCACTTACAAACATTTTTCATACTTACAAGTCAAGCATCCCCTTGGTCACACGATGAAATTTCCGTTGCTTGGCAATGCATCTTGGGGTCGTGTGATCACCCTTTGCGTCCTTCTGACAAGCAAAGTCAATGCCCAATTCACTTAACAGCCATGTTAGTAACTTACTATGATTCACTTAACAATTATAAGGTCGTAAAATGGGGCAAAACTCATTTAACAAATGTCTTGCTTAGCAACATGGGCTCATTTCTGGTCATGTTGAGGACTATTTTTAATTAAATTCAGGAATACGAAGAAGTTTCCCCTTATTTCTATAATATGTACAAGGATACTTTAGAGAAGTATAATAGAATAATGAGAAGGCATTTAGTCCATCAATGTTCAATTGCAATTAAATTATAAAATGTTCAGTATATTAGAGGTAATCCTCAACTTACAACTGAGCCCAAAATTTCTGTTGTTAAGGAGACATTTGTTAAGTGAACATTTGCCCCATTTTATAATCTTTCTTGCCACGGTTGTTAAGTGAATCACTGCAGTTGTTCAATTAGTAACAGGGTTATTAAGTGAATCTGGCTTTCCCATTGACTTTGCTGGTCAGAAGTTTGCAAAACAGCATCACGTTAACCCGGGACATTGCAACCATTATAAATAGGTGTGAATCAGTTGCCAAGCATCTTGATTTTGATCACATGACCATGGAGATGCTGTGGAAAATGGCAGTAAGTCACTTTTTTCAGTGCCATTAGAACTTTGAACAGTCACTAAATGAACTGTTGTAAGTCCAGGACTACCAGTATTGTTAATCAGATGTAATAAGGATCACAATCTTAAATGACTGTACTGACACTTGAAGCTGGAAGAACAGACAGAGGCAGCCGTATCAGTCTAGCTTTGTGTATGATGTAATTGTTTATATGAAAATGATCCTTTCATTGGTGGCTCCAAAACCGTGTTATCTGCTTCAGAACCCAATATGATAAGCTTCCTTCTTCTCCTTGTGGAAATGGATTAAATGAGGACACCCGAGCATTTCACAATTATGTGCAGCTCATCTTAATGCTTAACCCTACACAGAATGAATTTGGCTTTAGATATTTTGTGGCATTTTACGAATCTTTAAAGTAATTTGAGATTCTAAGTTTAAATCAATAATTGTCTTTATAAATAATAACTACTATGCCAGTGTTGGAGTTCGAGGACAACTAGTAACAAATGGGCTACAGCAGTTTTGTGGACGGGCACCAGAAGCGGGGTGGGGGGGAGAGGAAAGAGGGGATGATTCTGTGTGACTACAGCTCCATTTACAAATGGAGCTGCACATCTGAGCACACTTGCCACCTTATGAGACCCGATACTGAGCCATGGCCCTTGGACCTCTGGACTATAGGCTTCAGGACTGTTGGCTGAGCAACCAGACCCGGCAGCTGTAGGACAACTGGAAAAAAAGGAGTCTACCCGTCATAAATATACAAAGATTGAAAACAAAGAAATAATGACAAAACCAGTCAATAGCAAAAGGCAGTGTTACTTACAGCGGCTTACAATCTGTGATGATACTTTTAATACCTCATAAAACATCATCATCTGCCTATTCCAGGGTCTTGGGAAGGATTCATAGGTAGACAAAAATGCCAAATTGGGTCTGAATATCTGGCTGATTGGGCAATCAACAACAATAATAACTTTAGAATTCAAACAGGTAAGCACCTGCCACATAACATCCCAGAATTAATAACTATCAATAAGAAAGACATAAAATCTGGATAGTGATTGTTGCAGTACCTGGAGGCTGCAAGAATAGAAGAGAAAATTACAAAATGCAAAAAAACCCTGCAAATAGAGTGACTAGCGACTAGCATAGAAAGCAAAAATGGTATTAATAGTAATAGGCACAAGTAAAAAAGAGGCCATCTTTCCTCACCTCTGGCAGAGGGTCTCCTGTTTGAGCAGAAGGTTATCGGATTAGTAGACCTCTAAGGTCCCTTCTAATTCTGTTATTTTGTCAACACAAGGCAGCATTCACAGCTGCCTTGTATTTTTCTCCACAACAGTCATTCACTAAACTTCCATGGACATGGGTAGGCTTGAATCTGGTCCTCCTTGGCCATAGTCTAATATTTGAACTACAGGTAGGTCAAAAGACCAACATTGAGCCCACATTTCTGTTGTTAAGTGAGAAATTTATTAAGTGAACATTTTCCCCACTTCACGACCTTTCTTGCCACTGTTGTTAAGTGAATCTCTGCAAAGTTGAAAAGTTAGTAACAGAGTCATTAAGTGAATCTGGCTTCCCCACTGACTTGGTTCATCACAAGGTGGCAAAAGGGGATTATGTGAGCCCAGGACCCCACAACTGTCATAAATACATGTCGGTTGCCAAGTGTCCAAATTTTGATCACATAACCATGGAGATGCCGCAAAGGCCATAACTGTGAAAAACAGCCTTAAGTCACTTTTTTCAGTGCCGTTGTTACTTTAAATGGTCACTAAATGAATTGTTGTATGTCAAGGACTGCCTGTACATTTAGTGACTGTTCAAAGTTATATTTGAAAAAAGTGACTTAGGACTGTTTTTCACACCTAATGACCATTGCAGCATTCCTATGATCATGTGATCAATATTCAGATGCTTGGCAAGTGGTTCAAATTTACGACCGTTGCAGTGTTCTGGAGTCACATAATTAGTTTTTCGAATCCCCTGGTCATATACATTTTTGCAACCTCCTGACAAGCAAAGTCAATGGGGAAGCCAGATTCACTTAACAACCATGGCCAGAAAGTCGTAAAGTGGGGCAAACTCACTTAAACAACTTAGCAACGTAAGTTTTGGGCTCCGTAACGGGAGGACTTCCTCTGCTTCAAACCCCGGGACGTCCTAATCGTCGATCAAAGCGCAGTGCGGCAAGCGTTAAGACGACGCGAGTCCTCTCCGACGTGGAATACACAAACGCACGCAAACAGAGCGCTGAAACACAAAAGGGAGGGCGGGGAGGGGGCACTTACGCCACGTCCCGTCCCCTCGCCGACATAGGTAGGTCTCTCCGATCTCCACGGTGACTTCAGCCTCGCGAGAGGGCGGCGACGAGGACGGGCGGCTCTGGTGGCCCAGGCCTCCCGCGCTGCCTTGCCTCGGCGCCTCCTCTTCCTCTCGCCCCCCCGGCCCCAGGCGTCGTGAGTCCGAGCCGGGGGGGCTACCCCGGTCCCCTCCGCCTTCGTCCGCAGCGGATGCCGTGTTGCCTCCTCCGGGCCCGCCCGCCGCTGCCATGACAACCGCCACAGCGACAACAACTCAGGCGCGAGGAAAACACCCCAATCGCATCTAACGGCTCTCCCCACACAACCACCTTACAGGCCCAAACCGGAAGTGCTTTCCCTAGGTCATCATAGATAAAACTTCCAGGCGAGGGCGCATACGTGTGACGTCAACCAGCCCTGGTCACATGATGCCACTCCTTCCTCTTGAACTGTACTGCTGGGAGACCGAGTTTCCTGGCGGTCTATCTCATGGTTGTCTCAAAGGTGCTTTGTTTTTAAAGGCAACTGGCCTTTTTTTTTTTTT